AACTCAATAATAATTAATATTTCAAACTCAATAAAAATAAATTTTTTCAACTAATAGAAATTTAAAAATTTTAACTCAACAAAATTTACCACTTTTCAATAAAATTTAATAGTATGAATTCAACAAAATGTGGTATTTCCAAAATAATAAAAATTAATAGTATAAATTCAACAAAATGTGGTATTTCCAAAACAATAAAATTTAATAGTATGAATTCAACAAAATGTGGTATTTTCAAAACAATAAAATTTAATAGTATGAATTCAACAAAATGTGGTATTTCCAAAACAATAAAACCTAATATTTTTAACTCAATAAAATTTAATATTTTTAACTCAATAAAACTGAATACTACTAACTCAATAAAATTTGATATTTCCAAAAATAAAACATATTTATTTATAATAATATAATGTAATGTTTCTAACTAAAGATAATATTTTCAAAACTCAATAAGACTAAATATTTGCAACTCAAAAAAACTTAACAACTTCAAACTCAATAAAATTAGATATTTTTAACTCAATAAAATTCAATATTTCCAATTCAATAAAAATTAAACTTACTTTTCTATTTTAAAAATTCATTACTTATTGAAAAAAATCATTTAAATTATAAATAATTAAATAGTAAAAAGGATTTGCTTCTATGACAATAATTTAAAATTTAGTAAATCAAACATTTTATAAGTTTAAAAAACCTAACTATTATCAAGATAAACCATTTAGCATTTTTCATAACTAATTGCTTGCTTTTTAGTTTATTCGAAGTTATTTCTAATTTATTTTAGGTTGTTTTAAAATAAATTAAAAATTAAACAGCATACTGTTTTCTAATCTTGCTCTTTTATACAAATTATCATTGGATGGTGAAGCATTTCGTTTCTGTGCTTTTGATTTGCTAGCTTCTTTTTTTGATTTTTTACTATATTTAGAGCCCATATTAGCTTTTTCTAAAAAATACATATTTTGAAAAAATATAACTTTAGACTTCTTATAAAAATATTTTTCTATATAAAAACTATACTTTTTGCTGAATTATATATATAAACATAAATACATACATACATACATACATACATATATACATACATACATACATACATACATACATACATACATACATACATACATACATACATACATACATACATACATACATACATACATACATACATACATACATACAATACATACATACATACAATACATACAATACATACAAAAATTTTTAAAAGTTTAAATTTTGATATAACAAATCAGTTTACCTCGCTGCTTTTCTATAGTAATAGCTCTTTTACGTAAAGGAAGATCCTGTTCAGCTTCTCTGCAAATCTGACAAGTCCATGAACCACGTGGAACTTTTTTAATAGGAGGATAAACACATTCAACATGAAAACCACGCGGACAGTTTTCACACAAAATTAAAGTCCCTTCTTCATTACAGACTGTGCATAACTCATTGTGCTCAGATGTATAACTCTCTAAATATCACCCAAAAAAATGAAAATTTATCATTTATACTTAAAATAAAAACAGAAAATAAAATTTAAATTTTAAAACTACTGTAAATATCAACTATTTCAAGTGTATTCAACTAAAATACTTCTATAATTTCAAATAACTAACAGAATTTTGTAAATTAATTGATTAAAAAAAATAAAATGCTTTTAATTTGAATTTTAGGTTTTAGCATTAAACCTTTGTGTTACAGACATTTTTTTACAAAATTCAATTAAATTGAAATTTATCTTAAATCAGATTTTGCTTTTATAAGATTTATACTATTTTATAGTATATAAGTTATTACTTTATTTATGAATTTTATCATAAAGTATACTAACTTATTGAACCAAAAATTACATTATCTCTGTAATAATAAATATGGTAACAAAATAAAAACCAAATGGAGCTTGTTGATTCTCTCATCAAACTAATGAACTTATACGAATTTATACAACTTTATTATTTTGTTTAATGTTAATAATTATCTCTGTAAGTGTCATTTCTGTAAACAGTTATCTCAGTAATTATTTTGCTATTATCTAGTTATTTCTGTTTATCTTATCTTATTACACCATTAAATAAAATTAGACAGACACTTTTTGGAATTTACTACAAAAGTTTTTTATGATTAACAATAAGAAGTTAAGTAGGTTTCACTGTGGTCTAGCTCATAAAGGTTTACGTTTTAAAGTTAAAGGGTGAATACAATAACAATAATAATAATAATAAAAAGAAACAATTGTGAATTGTATTAATTAAAAAAAAAAAATTATTAAAGAACTTCCGTTAATATTACCATTTATCTAAATCATGAAAACAAAAACATTGGAAGGTAGACAAGTAACATATTATTTAAAAAATTTTCTTTTTGTATTATAACTTTTTTATTTATTATCTTTATTATTTCAATAAAACTTAACACAAAGTTTTAGTGTATACTAGGGAACAAAAAATCAACCATTTGCGGTGATCGGACTTCTGCAGTGATGGTCGATAATCAGCTAACCGCAGCAGTTGGTGATTGCGGTGCGAGGTGACAACGGTTAGAGGTGTGTGGTGATTGTCAATTAGCGGTTTTCAGAAAATCACCGCAGAAGTCTAATCACCGCAAATGGTTGATTTTTCGTTCCCTAGTGTATACATTTAATTATAACAAATATTTAAAATTTTTAAACAAACCCAATCATATATTGTATTTTCATTAGACCATGGTGTGAACATATTAACAAACAGGGGAGGGTGTGGATAGACCATTATGTAAACATATTAACAGACAGGTTAGGGTATGAAGATATTAATAGAGAGGTTAGCAGTGCTCAAAATAACAAACTTTTTTCTACCGGACAATTAGTCTGTTAAAGACTCAAGTTTTGCCGGACATGTCCGATAAAAATCGAAGTGCAATCGAACGCCATTCCTGAATACACTTATAATATTTTGTTTTTACAACTTGACCGCGCAATTTGTTTTGAAAACTCTAGGCGTTTCAAAATGCGCTGAAAATTTGTATAAAATTAAGATATATCAAAAAGAAAATCTTAAAGAAAAAGAAAAATCTAAGCTCAAAAAACTAAAATTTGAAAAGGAAAATATATTTATATTACGTTTTTTAAAAATTACTATATTATGCAAAATGTTTTGTAAATATATTAAATAAATTATTAAGTTTACTTATTACATTTATTACTATTATGATTATTACTATTAAAGTAACAAATTAATTATGTTTACAATAAACACATTTTATTTAAATTACCAAAGTCTATTACAGGTAGTCTATTAAAGTCTATTACATTTATATAAATATGTATTTTTTTATAAATCTTTTCAAACTTTTTCTAGGATTAATTTTATAAAAATTTTTAATAGCAAAAATTTTCATCGCAAAAACAAACGTTACATATTAATTCAAATTTAATAATGTAATAAAGAGTACTGGTTTCTATAAACATTAAAATAACTATTACGTTAAAATTTTTATGAAATAAATTTAAAAGGAGTTTTAAAAACTAAAATATTTGTTTGAAATTTATAAAAACCATCGGACAAAAAAAAAAAACACTCAACTAAAAATTTAAATTAATAACTAATTGCAACGCTTTAATATGAATGATAAAAACCAGGCTAATTAATTTTAAAAAATGTAAAGCTTTGGAGACTTTCAAAAAATGAATTAACTCAAAAAAATGGCGTATTTTGTTAACCTAGCCGTGTGTTTAACTTCAATTTTGTTTTGTATAAAAAATAAAAAGTTCAAAAATTTATTAATAATTTTGGAACAACTAAAATGATTAGAAAATAAATGCACATAAATAACATGTCATACAAAATGACCGATAGATGTCGTTTTTTACCAGACAAGTGCCGGACAATGTCCGATATCCGGCACTTATTTCCAGCCCTTGGTTAGGGTGTTAGGGTGTGAACATATTAACAGACAGGTTAGGGTGTTAACATATTAACAGACAATGTGTGGATAGGTAGTATCAAACTCAATAAAACCATATTTACCTTTAAATGTAAAAAACTTTGGCATTTATATTTACACCTTAATTGGTTTAACAATCAAAAACAATTCTGTAACATACATACCATCGTCATTTTCATCATCATCATCGTTGTTCTCATTTTGATAATCATCATTAGGCTCTTCAAAATCATTTTCAGATTCACTTTCTTCATAATCATCTTCTTTTTCACTAACTTCCTCCTCCTATAAAATTAAAGCTTGAACTAAATTTGAAATTAATGGATAGGAACTTACAATTTGATATAAATATAGCATTTTAATATCAAAACTCTTAATATTATAAAAAAACTATATTGATCAAGATATCATTGCAGCAAAGAAAATGTAATAAAAAACTCTCTAAATTCTATAAAAGTTCCTTAAAAAAAAGAGAAGAAACAAAAAAATAGAAAACTTTCAACCATGATATATGCCCTTTATAGATAGGCATATGCAACAAAACCCCTGCTTTTAGTTATTTTAGTGTGACATCATCAGTGACACAACATGCAGATATAAATAATCATCAGAATTAGAGTAATAGTTAAAATCAAAACAGTTACAGTTAATTTAAAAAAAAAAATCAATCTAAATTTTTAAAGTAGTAACTGATTGGAAAACATATTTAACACTTGTATCCAAATCACCTTTAATTGAGGACAAAATAATTGGTAACAAGTTTCTTTCTTTTACTAACTACTTAAACATTTATCTTTTAACTTTTCTTCGGATATTAAAAATAACAACTCAAATAGCAGAAAAAAATTTGTTTGAAAAATGTTTTTTTTTTTTTTTTACATAAACAATTATAATTATAAATATCTATATTATTATTTTTTATTGCTACCTATTTATAATTATTTACAATAACTATAAATAGGTAGTAAAAAAAAAAAACTGTACCTCAGTATCATCACGGTACTTAGATGATTGTTTTCGATATTGACGTCTTATTTCTACAGGCCGGCAGTCACTGCAGAACCAGTTACCAGTGGGGACTTTCTTAAGTGGTGGATTCAAACAGTTCATATGAAAACCTCTATCACATCCATCACATAACAACATTTTATCTTCATCACCTAAAACAATTTAAATTAGAATGTTAATTTTTATGCAAATTTGTTTATCTTAATTTTTTACAAATTTGAAATTTCTACTTTCAATTCTATTCTGAAAATAACCCAGTTATAAATTTAAGAGGCTGGATAGAAATGAAATATGACCTTTTACACTTTTAAATATTAGTTTAATGTACTTTAATTTATGAAAAAATCATCTGCTCTTTACAAAAATATAAATGAACATATATTTCAGGCATACACATGAATGTTACTTTGTTCCTCTCATAAAGATATTTGAGATTTGTTCACTTATATACACAAACAATCATCAGTATAATATTGTAAGTGTTACTTAGTACCCATACCTTTTCTTCTGCAAATTCTGCACTTAACATGCTGCACAGATTTATCCCATATGATAGAACGATCAAGGGTATAGAGATGAACAAACACTTGTGAAAAACTCATACATTTTAACAAAGATTCTTGCCAACGAGCAAGACAAGTAGATAGTTTTTTTTGCTCTTCTTCTTCTGTTTTATCAATTTTTTTAAATTTGTTAGCTTCTGATTCCGCCTTTGTAGCCTCTATCATTTCTTTTATGCGCAACTTTCGAGATTCTTCAGTTTCCCCTAGAGGTGGTTTTAAATATTTCATTTCAATACTCTTCATAATCTGAAATATAAAATTAGTATATATTAGCAAGAAACTTTGAAACAAGAAACAGTACTTTAAATTCAATCAATAAAGCTAATGCTTTACAATTAATAAATGAACTGTTTTAAGTGAGTACATAATATGTATAGATTTAAAAACAATTTGGTTTACTTAAGCATTGCTTATGTGTTGGTTATTACATATTCACAATATTTTTTACCGATTGCGTATTGTTACGTATTAAATAACATTAATAATTTGAATAATATTTTTGTATTATTATTATATTATTAGTTGCTTGTATAATGCTTTTATTTGGACCTTTCACATTTAATATGAACTGACCATGGTAATATTGAGTTGAGTTGTTTATATCATGTTTTTATGAGGATCTATAACAATAATAATTGTTTTTACCATGTTTGAATTTTCAAAATTAATTTTTTTTCAGTAAGTTAAATTGAAGAATTTTTGGGGTCAAAGTAGCGTTATAAAATGTTATACCAACTTGGATGGAGAAAACATTGAAGAAAACTCATCATTAATGCGTTTTGTTTGATACTTTCAATATTTTAACGCAACGCTAACAATAAAAACAACTAAACAAAATGCGGTAATAACAAGTTTTGTTTAACGTTTTCCCTTATCCAAAACTGTTGCCAGTTTTGTGACACTATTGTGACCCAAAGGATAGTTTCTTGCTTTACTTTTTAATTATACAATAAATATATATTGTGATAGCAACATGATCTCAAAAAAGAATGAAAGACCTATGAAAGCTTTAAACTATGCGGTAGTGATGTAGTGGTAGATCTTGCTTCATAAGCGAGGAGTTTTAAGTTCGATTCCCACCACACCCCTGATAATACCGCACTCAAATTGTTTCTCAGCGCAGCAGCTTTGTCAAGGTTTGTTTTCTATAGATAAATCTGTGCAGCATGTTAACCACAACAAAAGTAGCCTCCTCGAGTAGTGGCCTTCTCGGTCTTGGGGAGGTGAATTAACATTTAAAAAATTGAAAAAAAACCTCCAATTAATGGCAAATTAATTATTTGCTGGAAAACCCTCTGATTTACCAATGAGCAATCTACCGACTTACAAACAGCTCATATTAATACAGTTACAAGATTGAGAAAGATTTAATGGACAGAAAATTGCCTCTGTATCAATTGTGACAAAAGTCAGTAATGATTTGCAAAGCCTTTGATATAGTGTTAATTCAAGTCTCCCTTTGATAAAAGATAATTAAAAAATAAAATTTCAACGATGATGATGATGATGAAAATGACGATGGCATGTATGTTACAAAATTATTTTTGATTGTTAAACCAATTAAAGTGTAAATATAAACGCCAAGAACTTTTTAAAAAAGAGTCTGGAAACTATAGATCCAAAGAAACTGGACATGATGATGAAAATCACAGATGGTTGTTAGATCTGTTTGCTTATCAGTGCGATTTTCCAATTATTTATACTTGTAAAGATAGGTATATATAATTCTAAATACAATTTATTACAACTTTTTTAAACATTTAGGTGAGTTGGATGTTGGAAAAAAGACTGCACAATGAATTATATAGTTTGTCCCCATGAGGAAAATAGAAAGGTAATACAAGTGGTTTTTATTTCACTTGTATTATTAGCATTTACAGATACACGTCACAAAATTGCTCGGTTAAGTAAAAGAAAAGAACGTAGACTGCTTATTTCTAATCATTTGATCGAGACTTAAAATTTAGTTAACTTGTCAAATACTTTCAATTTTAGGTCCCTGTTCTGAAAAGAGAATATTTAAAAGATCAAATATTCTAAAGATATGACTGAGAGGAAGTTGGTAGTTGGGCAATGTGAACCAAACAGAGACAACAAGGGTTGTAAAAAATGTTTACTAGAGAGGAAAAAGGGGCTACTGGGAAGCAATTTAGACAGAGAAGTCTTCAAACAACATCAGAAGTTGGTTTTAGTGATCAATCCTCAAGTTGAGAATGAGCTGAAAGTGACAAGTTTGAAATAAAATATGGTGTTAACTTAAAGCTGCAATACGATATGAAGTTAGTGATGTAGCTACAGCTGCAATAGCAACAGCTGGGTTAATTGACTATGGAATTGTAACTGGAAAATATAGAATAACTGAATCAGGCTTGGACAGGAATGGCATATATCAAACACTATTGCTAACCACGCAAATGATTTTTTTTTCTGATAACATGACCATGACTGTTGAGATGTTTTGATGATTTAAACATTTCAGAAATGCGCTGAAAAAAAAATAAAACTTAGCTAAACTTAAACTAAGAAGAAAATTAAAAAAAAAGAAAACAATTCCTTAGGAAAAAGAAAATATATAAGCACTAAAACAAAATTCAAAACACTCAAATTATTTTTTGTTAGGATTTAATAGTGTTTGAAATAAATTTACTTTAAAAATTATCTTTTGAAATGTTTTATTAAAGTAATGCAAAATATTTTTACAAATAAAATCTAATGATTATTTAATAAAGGAAAATTTAATATAAATTAAATTAATAAGTCTTATATATGATATTTTTAAATTGTATAATTTATTTTTTTCAAAAAGTTTAAAAACAAAAATTGTTTAAAAAAATAACGTAATATTTTTAGAATATAATATAGTTTTTAGTAAGTCAAGTTAGATTGTAAAAATAAAAACAAAACAAAAAAAAATAAAGCCATTAAATCATTTCATTGCAATAGGAAGATTTCATACAACTTGTTCATAATTTAAAATAATTTAATAAAATAATAATTTAAGGGATTTTTAGAAAGACATAGTTTCAATTGTTAAAGCTTATCATAAAAAATACATGCCCACATTAATAAAATTTAAATGTAACATTTTTTATTAATTTTCACAAAATGCATTTATTTTAAAAAATCGTTATGATAAATTTTTTATTTCAGTTAAAAGCTTTGAGTAAAATAAAATTTTTAGAAAAGATCAATGAGTAAAAGTTATCCATAATGTAACAATTTTTTTATTGCATTTAAACGGTTAAAACATCAAAATGGCCCTGGTCAAATTGTAAAGAAAAAAAATATAAGCGTGGTCAGTTACAGCGTGCGATCGGGGTCAGGGTAACAACATCAGTTTTTGCCATGTCTAATAACATGTCCAACAACATCTGTAATTATAATGAGGTATAATAACATCTGTCCAGCAATATCTGAAATTTTATTGATGTCTAATAACATCTGTCCAATAACATCTGAAATTTCATTGATATCTAACAACATCTGTGAAAATTTAAATGAATATTACAGATGCAGTTACATCTTTTAAATTATCAAAGTGAAATAACATCTGTGCAACTACATTTGTAGATTTTAGGATAAAGTTATTTTTAAGATAAATTAACTAATAATGCATTATTACATATGATGTTATTACATATAGAAGTTTTTTCAGATGTAATTACATCTGGAAAAAAATATTAACTAACAATGCATTATTTTAACCAGATGTAGTTACATATAGAATTTTTTCAGATGTAACTACATCTGAAGAGAATTCTTCCAGATGTTATTGGACTTGAAGAAAAATTACTAGATGTAGTTAAAAATTACTAGATGTAGACCCCTAACAACATCTTTTTAAAGATGTTGTTAGGGGTCGCTGAATTTTCAGATATTGGACAGATGTTATTAGAGTAAAAGAAAATTACAGATGATCTTGGACAAAAGTGCACAGATAATCTTGAATTACTCTACAGATGCTGGTGGACAGATGTAGTAATCTTTTACCTATGATCGCACCCTGGTGTAATTGGTGTGGATGGAAAAAAAGACAAAAATTTATTAGTTGATGAGATAAGTTTTAAAGAGATTTCTGAAAACAATCAACTTGAAAACTTGAAAATCGGTTCATAAATAAGTATTTTGTAAAATATTTAACTCTTCTAAACATTTAAGGAAAAACACAAATAATTGAAAACTACAGCGATTTCCCAAAATTATTCCTAATTTAACTCCAAACTGTCTAATTTTTTTGAAATTATGCCTATATTTATGGCTCACATTAATCCCAAAGTGAGCAAATGTGGTATATGTATGTATGTATGTATGTATGTATGTATGTATGTATGCATGTATGTATGTATGTATGTATGTATGTATGTATGTATGTATGTATGTATGTATGTATGTATGTATGTATGTATGTATGTATGTATGTATGTATGTATGTATGTATGTATGTATGTATGTATTTATGTATGTATGTATGTATGTATGTATGTATGTATGTATGTATGTATGTATGTATGTATGTATGTATGTATGTATGTATGTGTATATATATATATATATATATATATATATATATATATATATATATATATATATTTATATATATATATATATACATACATACCTTTCAATATATTATTACATAATTATTTTAAAGTATGAATTTACCTTTAAAAGCTCAAGAGAAAGTTCAGAAACAACAACTTGTTTATCAGAGTGAGGAACTGTAACTGGTGTGCCACATCTAGATGTTTTGTTTTCCTTGTTTACACTAACATTGTCTATTTGTTTAGAAATATAATGTTCATTTTCAGAAACTTCAAGATTCATAGTTGTGTCAGATATTTCATTTTTATAATTGACTTCAGTTTCTGGATGTCCATTTGCAATGTATTCAGTTGTAATATGATTTTCGCCATTGGTTTTGATATTTGTTGTTTTTTCGGTTTCTCTTTTATCCCCATTAACTAATTGTATCATTTGGTCTTCCATTTTTAAACGCCATTCTGTTCTATTATCTTTCCAACCACCTAAACCTGCAATCCAAAGTTGTTCTTCTAACTCAACCAGTTGGTCGCGCAAATTTGCTTCTATAAAATCATCCATGGTCTTAAACATATTCTTATCTATATCATTTTTTTCTTCATGTTTTGTATTTAACTTGCTTTCTCTTCTAGTTCCTTTTTTAATCTCTATTTCTTGTTTGTTTTCATAATAGTTAATAATTTCTTTTTTTTTTTTAGTTAAATTTTTTTTTAGAGCACTCTCGCGTATACCACGGCAGTTCATTGAATCAATTATTGATTCTAACTGTTCCTTAGTTGTCACAGAATACCATTTTGTTGAACAAGTAGTTGAATAAATAGACAAATCTTCACCATTTTTGATATTATCCATATATGACTTTATTATATTACTTTTATTGCACAAATTATTGATTTTATTTGTAAAAGGAAGTTTATAACGTTTAAAAACTAAATCTTCAATTAATGAATTATTCGTTTCTCTAGCATGTACTATATCACTAATTTTCACTTTTGGGAACTGTTCGATAACATCTTTAGTATTTTCCTGAATATATTTGAAGAAAACAGCATTAAATTTAAAGATAAGCAGCACTTATGCGAATAAAAATGAAAAAACTTACACCTGATGGCTCTACGTCACTTTCTTCACTTTCACAATCTAAAGTATTTGCTAAGAAAAATGCACTAGTGTCAGAATTCTCTACAAGAAGCCCACCCATATGTTCCAAACTCCAATAATTACGAAACGCTCGATCTTGACCTAAAGGTTTTTCATTTGTTACTGAGCTGTAATTTACCATCTCTTTTAAAATTTCCAACTCTTTTAATTGATATTTTTCAACCAAAGATTCTTCTGTTTTTTTATCTTTTGCTTCTTTTTTTAGCTTTTCAGGATCTTGCTCCTTTAAGTCTTCTTTTTGGTCATCTTTTTTTGGGTCATCTTTTTTTATCAAGCTAAAATTAAATAATCTTTTTTTTTTAATTATAATTTTTTTATTTATAATTTTAATTTAAAAAGAAAAATTACTTTTTGTTTTTCATTTCCTCTTTAAGCTTATTCCTGTCAGCTAGTACTTTTTGCCATTTTTCTTTTTGAATAAGCTGTTTACGCTTTGATTCTTCATGCTGTATATCTCGAAGTTGTTTCCTCAGCTCTTTTTGCCTTTTGAAAAAAAATTAATTACAACTAAAAAATATTTTTTTTATTCAAAGCTGTTTTTGATAAAGCTATTACAAAATGTGAAGAAAGTACACATCCAAGTAAGATCAAGTACAGATCCAGAAGGCAATCTGGCTGTCTCCACCTGCAACAATAATAAAATTGTGATTACTTAAAACTTATTTATATTTTTTTATGTGTTTATCCAATTGTCACTCTTTTTTTACCTAGATTTCTGCAGCAAATTGATAAAAAAATGTACTTTAAAAAAAAGTAGAAATAAAAAAATTTTAAATAAAAAAGTGCCTTATTTATATGCTCATTTCTTCCTTCTTAACTTACATATTGTAATAAATATATGAGAGCAAATAATTCAATAATGTGATAAAAATAATGTAATAAAATAATGTAATAAAAATATGAAAGTTAAGTGTAACATAAACATATTCAAATTAAAAACAAGTTAACGCAATATTTTAACCCTTTGTTTACCAACGGTTTCTATAACCCTATATTTTTAAATATGGTAACATGCTTTTTATAACAAAATTTATCATAAATCATTTTATGGAAAAACTGTAACATGCTTCCATTTTGCTAATTCACAGCAGATTTGTAAACAAAGCACATATTTATAAAACACTAAACCCCACAATAATTGACAATAAATAAAAACTACCATAAAGACATAAAAATAAAAAGTCAAAAAAAAAATACTTGTCAAAAGCATCTTCCATATACTCTCTGATAGTGGATAACATAAGAGACTGATTGCATATCAAAACAAGAATTTTCAATTTGTCTTTTGGTGAAAAATCATAAACACACTTTGTAACTAAGTTGTTCATAATATCATATTCAGTATGCCGAAAGTATACACAGGGATTATCTGACATTTGCTGTTGTCCTCGACGCTGCCAATCCACATAGTTAATTCGAGAATCTAAATCATATTTTGTATAAAAAGTACCAAGCAAATAAATTTTTTTTTGCAAAAGAAATACATAGTATATAGTAAAATAATAAATAGTATTAGGTATGCAACTAAAGCAAAAATATAATTATTAGCATAATAAAAATTTAAATAAAATTTTAAAAAAACTTAACTTGGTTTCTGTTGGTATTTATAATCTTTTCTAATATAAATCATATAAATTGGTTTATAAGAGAAATATATTGTATTATAGAAAGCTTCCCATACAAATTATTCTAAAAACTACGATTTTTTGTGTTTTAGATCCAATATTTTACTTGTTTTAATAAAGAAATTAATGGAAAAAATAGGTAGATAATGCTTGATAAAACTATGAAAGTTAGATGTAAAAGGAGAAAAAATGCAGCGATTTTTATATATATATATATTTTATAAACTGTTTATACTTAAAAAAACTTAAAAAAAATTTTCCTCTTTGACTTTAAACAATGCAGCAATAGCAAAGATAAGAAGAGAACATAGAACAGTAAACATAATGTATATAAATTATTGAATCATTCCTTACTGACCACAACATCAAAATCATCAACAGCATTCTCTTATTTCCAGTAATTTTTAAGGTACCACAAGCTTTTATATTTTATATTTTAAGACCGCTGGCCACCCAGTTTTCATCTATATTAATAATCTTCCTGATAAATCTTTTAGATGACTCTTTTTGCTTATGACATATTTTAAGTCTTGACAAAAAGTCACTTTTCTTGACAAAAAGATCACTTTTTGATACCTTAGAACAGGCACCTAATTTTAAAATTGATCTTTTTAATTAACTAATGACCTTGATAAGTTAATAGGTCAGGTGAATAAAAAAAAGCAATTATTTTTACTCAGCATTTTTGGAATAATTGCTCAGCTTTATGTGAATAAAAATTTGAGCAAATTCGCTCAATTTTTTTTTTTTTTTTCTTGTAGTAATAAGACAATTAAAAAAAAAATTATTCGTTTGTAGAACAATAACAATAAATATTCCCAATATTGCAAAACAGCGGTATAAAATATATTCCTAGTTAACATCCTGCTGTAGCTAAATTTTTATGTAGAAATTCCAAAATGTCTGATGCAAATGTCTTCATGTAGACATTGCCAAATGCAGATCTGGATTTCAAGAGCTGTGTATGCATTTATGAGTGCATACATACCAACACATTTTAATAATATGTATTTGTTTATAAATAATTTTTTTTTTAATATAACTAAATGCAGGAATCTAATTTATTAAATATACACAAAGATTTAAACACCTGAAAAATGCAAAGTTAGGTATCAAAATAATTCCTAGTTTATTGAAAACATCTTCATTTTGAATCTTATACTACACAGAAATAACTTTTTTAAAGAAACTAAAAAATTGTATAATACTCTAATACTTAAAAAACATTGCAATAATTTTACTCTGATATTCAAAAAAAAACACTGCAAAAAAAGTAATATAACTTACTAAGCTTGATCCCTGATGAGAGAATATGTAATCTTAAAATTTCTGTTAACGAAAATGGTTCAATTGGTATTTCATGCAAAGCCATTCCTTGGTGAAGTATAGGCCATGCAGCTGCAGCTTTAGAGCTTGATGAGCTTACATCCTTTGTATCATTTGCCTCCCCTAGATCAGTTTGGCTAGGCTGAACCCCTGTTGATGATTGAGTTAAAGTTTCTTCATCTGAAGAATGATCAACAACCTCTACTTGTTTCGTTTCTTCTTGCTCCATGCATAAATACGAATGTAGAAGAGATTTTAGTAATTTATAATACTTTCCTTCAGCATCATGTTCAAGAAGAGCTTCTTCAAGCCAGCCTATTACAAAATTTATTTACATCAAGGTTAAGTCATTAAAAAAAGGCCAAGCCTGATTTTAGATTTAAAATAATTTCTATAAAACAAATAATTTATTACCAAATGTTATTTTTGTATCCAATTCTTTAGATATATTTAACAAAGCTCCAAAGATGTTAATAAATTCAACCACCATTATTGCATCACCAACTAACTCTGGTTCAAGCTTGCAAACAAATGGAACCAAGGTAGGAAAAGGCTATAATAAAAATGTTTACAAAATATTATTCAGCTTATATAGTTATTTATACTCAGAAATATTTATATACTTTATAGTTGTTAAGTTGTGACTTAAGTTTTACAGTGTTCCAAAATAAAAAAGCAAAATTCTAAAAAACAGTATTATATTTTAATATGATAACAAAATAAATTTATAAAAACTATGAAAAAACGTAATATTTAATTATAGAAATAGGTAGGAAAGATTAGATCAGTACCTAGGTATGATAGAAATTTTCTTTATTAGACCAAAAGAAAGTTTTCTATCTGGAATCTGGATTAATTTATCAATGCAGATTTAGGTTGGCAGAGTACTAATATATTCAGGTCACTTTTAAAACGCTCCTTTTAATTCTAACAAGGTAGAAAGCTAAAAAAAAAATATTTTTTTTTTGCTATGATGAATGTCTTCATTAAGTAGATACTGTCTGGCCTAACTCTCATCAATGTATGTTCTTAAGTACGTGGTTATTTTAATATGATGTTATAAGTACTATCTTATGTGTAGATAAATTTATAACATAATATACATAAAAATTTAGCTGTACTAATAAACGTCTTAAATAAATGTAATAGAGGAGTATTGGATGTTTAATTGAGACTTATTGGAGGTTTAACTTAAACTTTTATTTTATATATATTTATTTTATATTTCAATTTATAAACAAATTTTAATAAATGTTTTAGCTCAACTTTTAAATATCAAAATAAAGTTGTATTGTATAAGTCGAAACTCTCAAGTTTGATAAAATGTGTTTTCACATTTGATCTTCGTTACAACTTCCTATTGAACAGAATTCCTATTTGAGTTAACTGAACTTGAGAAAATTAATTGCAACCAATTCAAACTATCAAAGCAGGAGTAAGCTTCTTCATATACACATTTTGCAAAATAATTCAATAAATTTGAAACTTTTGTTATTGCACAACTCAGTTACAAATTATTAAACACCAAAAATTATTAAGGTCAACAATTAATTTATCATTGTCTTTTTTTAAATAACTTCATAAATATATAACTATGTGAACTCACAGCTTAAAAAACTTAAATAAAATTCAAAAGCAGTTCAAAAATTACAGAAGTAATAACAATTAACAAAAGAACAGAATACTAACTCATTAATTAGTAAAAAAAATTTTTCTTTTAAATTAAATTAAAAAAATACAAGCTATTAAACAACTAAAAGTGAGAAAAATACCTTTGAATCTTCCAATTGTAAATCTTCTTTCGTTTTTTGAAAGGCTTTTACAAACAAACTTTCTAACTTTTTAATATCATTCAATTCTTCTTTTTCCTAAAAAAAAACAATACCAATATAAAAACACCACAATGAAAAACTACAAATCAAATTAAACTGAAAATATACACATTCAATATGATTAAAAAAAAAAGAAGATAATAAATAAATTTTAGACCTTTTCTTTTTCATCTTTTTTCCTTGCCTTTTCTTTTTCTTTTACATCCTTTTTAGATGCTTTTGTTTCAACATCTTCAGTTTTTGTTTCCAGTGATGATTCTATAGGCGCTTTTGACACAACTACATCATTTTACAAAATTATAAAACATTTTAACTGCTTTGAGCACATAAATATAGAGTTGTAACATATATAGAGTTATGCACATAAAATTGCTGCAATAAAACATTGGATTGAAAAATAGGAGTAGAAAAATTGTAATATAATTTAAATTTTATGAATAGTTAAATGTACACCTCAGTATGTATGTTAAATTAAAGTGAGAGATTAGGCAGCCAAATAATATACTGCCCTGAGCACCACAGCTTAGCATTCTTCATAACTTCATAAAATATCTTTACCATTTAAAATCTCAGGCGGTCAACATTTTCATTGACTATAATGGGTTTTTCAGGTTGTGTACAAAGTTCTTAGGTCTCGAGAAAAGGTTCACTTTTTACTTTTGAGTCTATTTTAGAAATGTTTCTTTTTAAAAATTTATTTAAATATATTATATATTTATTTACTTTTTTTAGTCAATTTAAAAAATGTTATTTTTAAAAAGTTGTTTTGAAAAACTTTTTACACAATTTCTTTTATTTACACTGAAGTAAAGTTTTTTTTGCATTGTTTGTTTAAATTACTTCTTTAAATAATTTTATTGCTGATCATAACTTTTGCATAGAAAATAAAAATAAATTAACTGACAAGAAAGTAAATTCATAAAAATGTTGTAAAAAAAAGGGTTGCATACTGTAATCAGTAGTAACCTTAATGGTGAATTAAAAAACTTACATAATGGAGAATTTATGTTTCCAGAAAACAAAAACAAAAACAAAGTTTTACACTGTTAATTTGAATTTAAATATTATTACATTAAAGAAAAAAAAACTGCTCAGAAAAAAAAATTAACTAAAGACTCTAAGGCAGCTGCCAATAAAGTTGTCTTAAGTAAAGTGCCAAAGCTAATACATTCTTTTCTTTCTCCATGTTTTTCACAACCTTGTGAATGAAACATTGTGTGATGAAAACTCCTTACAAACATCTAGTGGGAACTCCACTCTGTCTCAATCTAACCAAGAGTAAGATAACGTGAGTAACCTTCTGCTGTGTAGTTCAACTTCTTCAGCTAGTTTTGCTAATGTTCATCAACTTCATCCTTGGATATTTTGGACATTTGTAGCCAAAAATCTCAGGAAACATCAAAGAAAAATGGCTGAATGTAATTTAAAGCTTATAATAGTTGACACAGATTATAGTATCACAATTACAACAATTGTTTCACAAAGAAGTGACACTTGCAGATACTTATCTAATGACCCACACACTTGGTCAGAACAGCTGGCTATAAGGGAGAGAAACTGCATCATCAAAATGAATCCAAAACCTTTCCTGAAGAGCAATAATGAATATCCTAAAATTGAAAAAACCCCATTTATAACTTTTGTGAACAAGCTAAAGTTTGGAAAGTATTTTTTAGTTATTATGAACTGCACTCCAGACCTTAGTCTCAAAGGTCAAACTTCTCTAACCATCCGCTATGTTCAAGAAGAAAATTAAGCAATTGTCCATGAAAAGTTGAGTGGTGAAGCTCATTCTAACCTTCTAATTGAAGAAACAAAGACTTGTAGGCTAGTCCTAAACAACCGTAGAGGTTAAGTCTATGACAACGAGTTTAATGTGGTTGCAATTTGAAAAAGTGTTCAAGCTCGAACTTCAACAGAATACCCGCAAGCCTCATTTACACCCTGTGGTTGCAGAAGCTTGAACGTAGTTATATCAGTTGGAGCTAAACCATTGGTGAAGTCTATATTGCTGTTTGGGATTGTTCGAAAAATCACAAATCTGCATCAATCAAGTGTTTTTCAAAAATTACTTTTTTTTGTCCCTAATTGACACAATTAAATCATCTTTAAAACACAAAATGGACAAGTTTTCTGAATACGAGTCAAATTGAGGATTCCTATTTGTCCTAAAAAAACTACCACCAAAGGACAAAATTAAAGAGGATTATAAATGTTACAAGAATACCTGAGTATGAAAAACATTTCAGAAATTGATGGGGGAAAACTGTACAATAAAAATTCTACACATCAGTTTGATAACTATTGTTTTTGACAAATAGTGTGAGCAGAAGCAGAAGGCAGCCAACAAAACACTATCACTCAATATAATCAAAAACACCAACAGAGAAGACCTTTTTACTAATCTGTGGATAGCACTAGGCATATTGCTGACAACTCCAGCAACAATAGCAAGCAATGAACGTAGTTTCAGCAAGTTAAAGCTAATTAAAGCCTACCTACATCAACCTTCAGATTCAGGGTCAACATTTGGCAATGCCGACATAACTGCCGACCTCAAAGTGTTTGTTGTCAGCAAAAATTTGCCAAACTTGTTTTATAAAACCTTTGTATCAAATTTTTTTCGCCTACCTGATGCCGACCTCTAAATGATTGTGGTCGGCAGTAATTTGCCAGCCTCATTTTTCCTAATTCTGAGGGTTGCTACGTACATTGATGACACAAAGATTGACGTAGCTTGCAATACTCTTCATTGAAAACAAGGAGGCAAAAAAACTCAACTTCGGAAAAATTATTGAACAATTTTTCTTAGAAAAATTTTGAATAATACTATTATAAACTTATCTATTTGTCAGTAATTTAAGTTTCATTTAGAATTAGATTGTTTGAACTACTTGATTTCCTTAACCTGTTACAATTCTAGAATCAAATGTATATATTCATCTTTATAAACTGTATGTATATATTCAAATGTATATAATCATTCATATAGTCAAATGTATATATTCATCTTTAGTAGATTGGTAGGTGGTGTAAGTATTAAAGTATGGGTGGCAGCACGAAAAGCTTATATACACAACTATTACTTGAGGGAGGGGGCACCGCAGATACATTTGCCCTGGGCACCACCAATTCCTAGGGTAGAATAGCGTATATAGATCAGCAAGTGCTTACTAGCTTTACTTATCTTTATATCAAACAGTTTTTACAGAAAAAGAAGAAAATAACAAAGAATAATAAAAGTAAAGACTGCTGCCTCATGCCAAAACCTCAATCAATGAAGCAGCACTTGTTGCCGAAGCAGGCTAAGATAGTAGATGTATGTACTGAAGTTGCCAGCAGCAGGTTATTTCGTGTGATGTCAGACACGTTCTAACACGCATTTATACATACATCAAGCTTTCCCAGGGGACAAGCAGTTTTTCCTCTTGTATGTCCACGCATTTTATTTCAGTTAACTACATTTTATTTTAGACAACTTGGTTCCGGGCATTTGCAAGTTTTATTATTTTGAGCGTTGCAGAAAAAACTAAGTTTCAAAAAAAAGAAAGCTAACAGAATAGGAAATAAAATTAAATTAAAAGAATAGAAAAAAAAAGTGATAACTTAAATAATATGTGCACTGTTTTTACTTTTGTTTTTTTAGGGTGGTTGTTATTTTCAGCAACAAAATTGGATAAAGCAAAGCAAAAAAAAAGTTTTAAGTCGACATTAAAAAAAATAATTTTCCTATATTTTATTTTTCTTTTAAAAAAGGAAAGTGAAAATATAAATTGCTATCTGTTTGTAAAATATATTTGTATAAAATTAATGGAGCAAGTATATATTGTCCCTATATGAATACATCTATGTAATGCATGCGTATATTTTATATTCTATATGTATAACTTTTAACACTTTGTAATTTTGGATACCTGTTGTTTATTAAATTTTGGCTTTGTGCGCTTAGTTCTACCTGCCCTCTCTTTTGGTCTACTATGTTATTGGTGAAATATACATAAACAGTTATTAAT